CACAAGGCGTGCACAGTGGGGCGGGGGAGGAGGGAAACTCGGGGAACGAACCGGGGAGACCAAGGACGAGACCGTGCTGGGACATGTGACGCAGACGCGGGAGTGCAAGGTGGCCTAGGCGGTGGTGCCAAAGGAGAGTCGGGTGCGTGAGGGACCGACAAGAGCAGGCAGCAGCAACCTGGATAGACGCAGCCACCTGGGGGGGCGTCCCAGCCGGGGGGGTCACGGTGTCCAGGGTGAACAGGCTGGACACCGGGTCCCGGGGGAACGTGGTAAGGGGGGCACCAGTGGCGACCTCGGTACAGACAGCATACCGCTCGTGACCAGGGAACGTAGTGGTGACGCCAAGGTCCTGGAGGCAGCCGACACCAACTAGGTTCCTGGAGAACGAGGGGATATGCAGACCTGTGAGAGAACCCGAAGGAACCGCCGGACAGGGAAGGGTGGTGGAACTGCGAGCGACTACCGGACCGCCGGAGGGGTCAGCAAGAGAAACTGCAGCAGGAACAGGAAGCGGTATCAGCGTAGTGGAGTCGCGGAAGAAACACCGGGAAGCGCCAGAGTCCAAGGTGAAGGAAAGCGCAGCAGTGGCGTCTGGCGGCGGAGCAGCGGCAGAAGCACCGAGGCTAAACAAAGCAGGAGAGCCTACGGCTGACGCAGCAGGGGAGTCTAAGCTAGGCACACCTACGCTAGGCGACAAGGAGTAATAAGAGGGAAGCACACTAGAGTCATCAGCATACATCACATGCAGGGCAGCAACAATGTCATCCATTTCCATGTCAAAAATCTGAACTCTACGACTAAGCAAGCTGTGCCAGTCCGGGAGGTCGGGCGACGGGCCGAAGCGCTGACGAAACAGGTCGTCTAGGCGACGAAAACAGCGGGAAGTGGTGTGACCGATCTTACCGCAAACGAAGCCGCGGCGAGGACCGGTCTGAAGCTGGTACTGACAGCGCACGCCTCCCGAACCGCCACCCGGCACACCCCCACGTGCACGACCACCACCAGCGCCAGGCCATCCGGGCGGGAGACCACTCGCCCGCCTCGTCTGCTGCGGCTGCTGTGGCTGCTGCAGCTGCTGAGGCGGCTGCTCGGCTGCACCTGGCAGGGTCCCCTCGTCCGCGCCACCACCAGGCGACTTGACTCCACCACCACCGACACCTGCACCCCCACCCCCGCCGCCACGCCCAGCCTTGGGGCGACGACCCTTCCCCGGACGGACCTGTGCTGCAGCGGCAGTCTCAGCCACAGCAGCAGAACCGTCGGAGAAGGTGCATTGAGCGGGGGCGCAACCCTGAAAGATAGGGACCGGCACAGTACCGCTGGTCTGAGCGATAGAGCGGTGGGGGGCCTCTAAAGCGGACAAGGTGTCAACAAAGTCAGTGAGGGTGAGGTCTGCGGGGTGGACACTAAGGAAGTGGTCACGGGTAGTGGCAAGACGATCAGGGAGGCGGGCGGCTGGTGGGCCAGAAGCTGTGTTGCAGTGCAGGCAGCACGCCAGGTCTCATCTATAGTGCGCAGGTGAGCGGCCAGGTCAGTGACAGTGGGGAACGACGCAAGGTCAGGGAAGAGCATGGGGAGGATCAGACGACCTACCGAGGCAGCAGGCGGGGTGGAATAGCGCTGGACAACAGCATCTAGGAAAGCCTGGGCAGTGGTGATAGACCGGAAGCGAGGTCGCTCGGACAAGGGGAGGGCATTGCTAATGGCAAGCTGTGCAACAGCGTCACAGGACAGCCAGACAGAGCGAGCAAGGGCAGCGGCTGCAGCGGACTCACGCTCAGCGGACGAGGGGTCAGGAGACAGTGCAGCGGGGGGGTCAGGGCAGGGGAGGGTACCATCAAGATGGACAGACAGAGAGTGGCCATCCTGCCGCTGACCAGTGAGATGGCGACGGAGGTCAGCAAGCCACGCATCAAGCTCAATCGGCTGGCCCTCAGCGTCAAAGCAAAGCACCGCCGCCATGAGTGACAATAGAGGGCAGTGTAGAGTAGGACAGTGCGGCGTAGTGCTGTATAGTGCGGTGCAGTGCGGTACAGTTCGGTGCAGTGCGGTACAAAGCGGTGCAGTACGGTACAGTGCGGTGCAATGCGGTGCAGTGCGGTACAAAGCGGTGCAGTGCGGTGCAAAGTGATGCAGTATGGTACCGGGGGGGGTTCGGAGGACGGTGCTGATCGGGAAGAACGGGCCGAACTCGAGGCAGCGGCGGGCCGGCGACGGCGCGAAAGGAGGGGCCGGCCGGCGGGCGGCAAGTAGACACGGCCGCGACGGCGGCCAGGGACAACCGCAACGGCGGCCAGGGACAGCCGCGACGACAGCCAGGGGCAGCCGCGACGGCGGCCAGGGACAGCCGCGACGGCGGCCAGGGACAGCCGCGACGGCGGCGAGGGGCGGCCGCGACGGCAGGAGTGACCGTGAGGCGGCTGGAGACGGCAGCGGCGGCGGCTAGGGGCGGCCACGACGGCGAGGGGCGGCCGGGACGACTAGGGGCAGCCGAGGGACGGCAGGAAGCGGCCGCGACGGCGGCTAGAAGCAGCCGCGACGGCGAGGGGCGGGCTCAAACTGCCAGGGGGCCTGCGAGGAGCGGGCGCAAAACGGCCAGGGCGCCGGCTAGGAGGGGCTCGACGGCCAGGGGGCCGGCTAGGGACGGTCGTGAACGGCCAGGGGGCGGCTAGGAGCGATCGCGACGGTCAGGGGGGCGGCTAGGAGCGGGCGCGGCGGCCAGGGAGCCAGCTAGAGACGGGCGCGACGGCCAGGGGGCCGGCTAGGGACGAGCGCGACGGCCAGGGGGCCGGCTAGGGACGGGCGCGAACGGCCAGGGGGCCGGCTAGGAACGGAGGGGCGTAAGCGTGAGCGGGCTAGGGGGGGATCGAACCTACTATGATACCATAAAATAAAGAAAATGATTACACTAGAATGTGTGTGTACAAGGATATATAGACTAGGGTGTTGTACCCTCTAAGGCACAATCCAATATAGTCTACAGTAACAACCTAAGTTACATTTGACACTCTCTGCCATATTGCAAGGGCGTTTTCATGCCTACGTTTTTGCGCAAACAACCCTTTTGTTTGATTTATTAGGGCAAGTTGGAAACAAAACCGAAATTTAACTCCTCTCGTCGATTCCGTACTTCCGCACTTCGCACGAAACTACTCGAAATTCAAACTCGAAAGGAGTAATGACATTTCGTGCAAACTCTATGTTTCTTCACCTCGATACTTGGCAGGGATGCAAACCTGCCAAGTTTGTCAAGGGAGAGTTTGAAGGCTAGGATTATCGTCAATTGCTGCTGCAGGTTGAGTGGATTACAGGTCCTCAAGATGCAACATCTTTAGAAAAAGTGAGTTGCAACCTGCCGGTCGGGCTTTAACAACACTCCCAAACCGATGTAGTTGCAGCTCGGTAGTTGTGCGGAGTTGTGTCTTCGGCAATAAACGTTAAACAACATAGACAAAAAAAAAAAAAAAACAAGAGAATCAATAATAAAGAACCAATAGAAAACATATCGGGGATATACACCATAATAAAGAACACGGGTAAGAATCTCATTAACCTCAAAAGATTTTGTCGCATAGGTTATTAGGTTGACTAGGAAAAACTGCAATGCACAATTGGTGCATCGACCGGTTTTAAAGGGTTGCTACGCAACCCAAATATGGTGTACTGAGACCCACGTTGATATGTCAATGTTCTTGTACCAGGTGAATGTCGCACTTCTCCCCCCAGTACGAACTTTGACCCCGCCCCTCTCTCCGCCCTCCATCTTCCGCGTCCCTTTTCCGCCGCTTCTCCTCACCTCACCTCACCCAAGGCTGGTCAACGAAATTCTTCCGCTTCTACTGTGTAATGTGGACCAAGAAAGTTCAGCTGACCAATCCGAGCTCAGGCGAGCACAGCGCAGCATGGGACAACCAACCATATCCAGGTTCGCGAATCCCGAATGACTACACCTTAAACCTCGTTAGAATCAAGCGTGTATGTCAGGCTGGCTGCGTTTGTTTTTTCCCGGAATGTGATTGTACGTGACCGCTCGGGGAACCGACCGCCAGGGGTATTCTCCGAGCCCCCGAAGATACAGGGGAGTATTCTGGAGTGACGAGTGTTTGGTCCCATGTGGAGGGAAACCAAATAAGGAGTTAAATATATATAATGAAAGCAGTGGAAGGGATCGCAACAGCCAGAAAGACCCGCGCACTGTAGCGAACCGTCAACTCTCGACAGAATGAAACAGAATGTTCCGGATGGAGGGTTTCCGCGACGAGGAGCTTCTGGAATCAGCAGCGCAACCCATTAAGGTCTGTGAGTTTTCCCACACTAAGCCATATCTGGTCCAGGGCAATGTGAAACTCCATTTCACAATGTGATAAGCGGATCTTGGCAATGTCTGTATCCGTTTTTTTTATGCTACGTGATTTGAGACAAACGAGATTTAGGGTGTACTATGCAGGCCTCTCGCCGTGTAGAATTCTGGAGGGGGACGGAATCGCCTCTGGATAACCCGTTAACAGACGGAACCCTCCCAAACAAACCCAGTACGAAATGGAACCGCCCGTTACAAATTCGCAAGGAATCAATAGGCTTGCACTTTGTGAATCCTATTTTCAATATTAGCAGCTACTAGTGCAATCTATTAACAAAAATGATCATGCTCCTAATTTAAAAAATGTTTCTAAATAAAAATATATGTAAAAATATATCATTCTGCTAGAGTGCCTTACTACAGATCTATGCCGTACGGATTCAAAAAGATTTCTCGTTATGGTAGAGAATAGTGCGAAATCACTTACGTAAGTTGGACGGATTCGGAACAAAGTAGCTCCCTAAAACAACCGTATCGCTGGAAAGAGTATCCTGAAATTCTCTACATTCAGAAAAACTACCCTGTTAGCGGGAGCCGTGCTGCTGAGCTGCTGGCCCGCTTGGCCGTTGCCTCCCTCCCTCCACCGTGCCTGTGCAGTGACCCACTGCACTGCATGATCCATCCACCTCCCCTCTTGCTCTGACGTGGTGCTTGTTGTGACCCCAAGTAGGAGAGCACAAATCCAGAGCAGCCAGAGCTTCTAAAGCTTCGCCTATTCTCCCGACAATTCAACCATTCCGTTTCGGTTGCGGGCGACCATGATGGGCACTAAAGCATTAGCAGCGGCGGCGTTCCTTCTCCTAGCAATAACTCCTGGTAAGCTGGCCTGTCGCGCTGAGGTCGTCCGGTCGCCGGGAACAATGTCTCCATGAGTCCCGGTCTCCTCCTTCCCCTCTAAGTAAACTCCCCCATCACTCCCCCATCTCCCCTCTTCGTCACAAAAATGTGGATCTCTCCTATATTGTAGGTATAGTTGTTCGTATAGCAAGGCTACTCCGTAGCAGACGTACCTATGCCGTACCCACTGTATACCTACTCCGTATTTCTGATCCTGGTATTTTGGGACGTTCTTTCCCGCTCGCGTGCAGTTTTCTCGAGGCCGCCTGGGGGCGGTCCTGGCGGTCCTGGTGGTCCTGGCGGTCCCGGGGGTCCTGGCGGGCCTGGACCGGGCGGAGGCTTTGGCGGGCCGGGAGGCGGGGCTGGCAGCTCCAGCAGCGGGGGCCCTGGCGGACCAAACGGAGGGTTTCCGCCAAATGGCGGCCCTCCTGGCGGCGGACCCGGCGGACCCGGCGGACCTGGCGGACCAGGGGGCCCGCCGGGTTTTGGGCCGTTGAATGTGACGGCGGTGGGAAATCTGACATGTGAGCTGCGCCAGGCGGCATTCCTGCTCAGGGGACCGGCGAAACCAGGAGGGGGTGGGGGGGAGAGGGAAGGGGGGGGGGAATGGGCGCATGGATTGCGGGGCTCGGTGACTTTGGGATGTGGGGCCAACTGTGTTTTCGAACCTGACGGTTGGCACTCGTGTAGTCTCCTTATTGTGTGGTGTTCCTTCTCGTGAGGTGTTCCTAATCTCTCTCTCTCTCTCTCTCTCTCTCTCTCTCTCTCTCTCTCTCTCTCTATATATATATATATATAGAGAGAGAGAGAATCATATATCACCCCACCCCCGACTCTGCTCCGTGCACTCCACCCCACCAGTCGCTGGCGGCACTCGTCTGGACAACTGTTCTGCTGACCTCCCCGCAGGCCACGGGGGCTTCCGATTCGGCATCTTCAAGTGAGTGCGCATTGCTGCTTCCCAGGTGAAGCGTGCTGCTGCTGCCCGCTGCTGCTGCCATCTTGTGCTCCAACCCGTGCGTGCGTGATACGTGCGTGGTGCAACAAGCATGTGCCCCTGCTTGTTCGCTTAATAACCGGGTGTCCCCCTCTCGCTCTCTGTGCACGCGCCTGTCCTACGTCCCCCGTGTAACAGGAACTCCACTGGCAACTACAACCTCGTGTTCCAGGCCGAGCTCGTGAACGTCACTGGCAGCCCACCCGACTCTCTCGCAATAGCCGAGGCTGCTGCGTGTGCTGTCGCTGCCACTCCTCTCCTCTCCCTCCCTATCGCCGCCTCCGATTGGACCATCCGCTCTGGTTGGTGGCTGCTGCACTCTGAAATGCGCCTGGACGGATTCCTGGAGAATGCTGATTCTACTGCGATTGAAACCCTCATCGCCGCCGTTCCCAAAGTTACGCTGCCGGATAGTGGGGCTACTCCTGGGGCTGGTGCTGCTGGGAACAGGAGGATGGGCCTGGAGAGCGAGAGGAGGGTGCTGTTTGACCTGTTCAAATCCCTTGGGATGGCCATGGGGGGGAAGAAGAAGAATACGAAGAAGAATGCTAAGGTTCCTGCCAATGCGGGTGGGCAGATGTTCAATGTGACGGGGTATGCCGTTCTGGCAGCTAGCTCGTCTTCTGCTGCCTCGTGGGGTGGCGAGCTCCAGGGTGCGTTGGTGCCACCCCCACCCCCACCCCCGGCTTCTTAGGGTAAAGCCAATTTCTTTTTTCGACATGGCTCGCAGGTGTTCAACAAGCCTGGCTATGCTGTGCTGGCTGCGAGCTCAGCTTCGGGATCCTGAATTGAAGGGACATTTTTGTTATCATGGTAGTTCTGTAACCTTCAGCTTCTTACGCTTTGTTTAAGCATAGATGAGTTCCTTTGCTTGAACTACAGAATACTTTCTGTTATTCTATCAGATCGATTTGGTCAATGTTCACATATATTTTTGTTAGGATATATGAACTAAAGCCTTGCTAGGGTTCAGTTTATGTAGGGTATATAAACACTTTGATATAGCTTTCTGCCAACCCTGTCGAGTGACCCGCTGGGGTTGCCCTTAAGATCCTCGGGGAAGGGCCACAGGTGCAGAGCTTGGGGGGGTTATGGGCGCACTTATCCGTTGTCCAACAAGCCCTTTTAACCCAGTGGTTAGTGACTGGGTTTCTGACATGGTACATAAGAGCCAAAGGGGTTGGGATCAATTCCCAGTGCTGGCGCTGTAGAGGTACTTGTGTCTTCCACCTATCCTAGCGAGGGGGGGTGTCGAGTGACCCGCTGGGGTTGCCCTTAAGATCCTTGGGGAAGGGCCATAGGTGCAGAGCCTGGGGGGGTTATGTGTGCACTTACCCGCTGTTTAACAAGCCCTTTTAACCAAGTGGTTAGTGACTGGGTTTCTGACAAACCCAACTGATCCTATTCTCTCCCTAGACATGGTATTGAGCTAGGGAGACCCTAGTCATGACGCTTCCGCCCTAGACCCTCCCACCCTAGCCTAGGTAGCTCCTAGCCTCCCACCCTCCCTTAGCCTGATCACATCGCATTACCTGCAGCCCGCCGCTGCCGCTTTCTCACAGCCCGCTACTACAGCAGTGTTAGAATACTAGAATGTTTAGAAACAAGAGAGAACAAGCAAGATATATGGTTGGGTTGTACTCTCTAAGAACATACACCTATTCTAGCCTATAACTTCTATATGCAGAATGAATGTATAAGTTGACACACCCCCTAGGCTAGATAAGGGGTAGTGCTGAACAAGAAGCACACAGCTCAGGGTGGCACTACTAGTCCAACCTCTGAGACAGGGGCTTCACCAGTCAGCAAGAGAACAAACAAGATAGGAGCAAGCCGACGCAGCACTACTAGTCCGGCCACTGGAAGAGGAGCCACAAGGCCAGTCTGAAAGATACAGGCCCCCAAATTGGTATTGGGGTTGTCTGATTCGTCAGACTCGCCTGCCATCCCGGCGAAAAACCATCCAAGGCCATCAGAGTTGCCCAAAAAAAAAAGTCTGAAAAATCAGAGTAACTAGAGATTTTTTGTACGATTAATCAGAGTCACTATGTTTTCGAACTCTGATTTTAAAGCCGTTGTCACATCACATGTTATTGAATGTCCTCCACTCAGGCTCATCTACCAACTCCAATTTCGCTTTCTTCGTACTCTAGATATTTGTGTGCGGGCGAAATCGCACAATCGTACCACCCAAGACCAGGGCGTATTTTTGACGGATAGTTTTCCGAATTTCGGCGAAATAACGGGTGACTTTTTCGCTGAACTTGGATTCCGACGGGTGACTTTTCCAAAAACAGGGTTTGAACCCGGATTCTGACGGGTCCTTTTGGCGAAACTGGCTGTGAAACCCGGATTTGACAGATAATTTTTGACAAAACAGGGTACTGAACACGGATTAAGACGGGTAGTTTCGGCCAGATTCCCGGATCTGGTGGGTGCCCCAAAAACCAAACGTAAGCCCTGCCCAAGACCCCCGGCCCACGCTAATTTCACGTGCCAGCAATGGGGTGGACTGGTTCGTGACAAACGGCATGTGCGTGCGGGACGAAATTGGGGGAGGAAAGGAATTCGGGCGGGCGAAACAAAATTGCAGACGAGGGAAATCTCGCGAAGGGCCAATGGGCGCCCTCGCACACACAGGCCGCGGGCGGCACACATCAGCAAATGTTTTTTTGGTGAAGGGCCAATCGGCCCCTCACACTGCCTCCAGCACAGGTTGGGAGGTGATTTTGGTGAAGGGCCAGTCAGCTCCCTCACACAGCCCCCTTGTAATCATTGGCTGGCCTTCGATTTTCGCTAAGGGCCAGTCAGCTCCCTCACACAGCCCCCAGTACACACTGACCTTTGATTTCGTGAAGATATAGTAAGCGCCCTCACAAAGCCCCTAGCAAGCATCACGCCCTGATTATGGCTAAGGGCCAGTCAGCGCCCTCCACAGGGGTACCAACGCAAATCACGCTCCCCCCAAATCTCGGTATTACACAAAATCAGAGTCAACCCCCCATATAGGGTTGAGGCATCAGCGTACACTAGTAAAAGAAGTCTGAAAAATCAGCGTAGGTACAAAAAGGTTCTCTGAAAAATCAGAGTAAGGTACAAAAAAAAGTCTTTGCAATCAGAGTACACCCCCAAAAAAACTCTGAAAAAAGTCTGAATCAGAGTAAAAAGTCTGCAATTTGGGGGCCTGGAAAGATATATATAAAGAGGAGTACACAATCAAGGTCCTAGCAAGTGAGAGTCTACAGGAACTAGACCAAGCTGCAAGCAGTGTCGCTGATGATCTTTAGGCGCAAGCGCCTTTGTAAAGATATCAACTGTGTTGGCACCAGGGCTGACGTTTCAAAAAAAGGCACTTTGATTTTGCCCCCCAAAATTTTTCCCGAGTCTGAAGGGTCATTTTCAAAATTTCGCTACTCTGAAATCTCAGTGTCCAAGATTTGACGAGTCTGAAATACTCAGGGTTCATAATGTCGACTCAGAGTCCTGCGCCCAAGTCGAATCTTGTATTTGCAGAGGTCACACAAGGGTCTCAGATTCGTTTTATGGAGGCTGATTTCTCAGGCCTGCCCTTATGAGAACCCATTTTTGTTAGGGTAGTTTTTATTTGATTGCCTGAAATTTCAGGCTGAATTTTCCGTAAAGCTGACGAATCAGGGCTGGGTTTTGAAACGTGTTGTATCAGTGACGATGGCTGCAGTTCGCCGCGTAATCGAAGGAAAAGTTGTGTTCTCAGGAACTGCCGAAACCCCACCAAATTGTTGTAAGCACGTCGAAGGACAATGCGTGTACAGTACAGCAGTAGGGAGTTTGTCTGTGATGGGTCCTTGCAAGTGTGTGATTGGTTGTTGAGGGACTTGTGCCACCCGCTCAGAGGACTAGACAAAAAAAAAATCAGGGGAAAGGGGGTGCGGGGAGAATGTCTCTAAAAATGGAAGACTTAGCCAATTTTTGTGGGTGTTGGGGGTGTTAGAGGGGTGTCTCTAGAACAGGACTTCAACGATTTTTATGGGCTGCTGGTTGTGCTGGGGGAAACTGTCTGTGGCTGCTAGGACTTGGCCAGATTTTATAGGTTGCGGGGCGGGGTGTGTGAAAGGACTTGACTCTGGCCGTTGGGGATTTGGACGAAAATTTGGGTGAGGGCAGGTGGGTATGCCTATCTCAGGGTCCGTACGCGCTGTGCTCTGAAAACTCAGTATCCACAAACTGCCAAGTCTGAGATTCTCAGGATTCAAAAACATATAACTCTGAAGGGTTCAGCATTCAGAAATTGGCAAGTCTGAAAAATCAGGATCGGCAAAAAAATAGGTCTGAAATTTCAGACAATCAGACTAAAATACTCTGATAAAACCAGGCCTGGTTGGCACCGGAGGCCAAGTGTACTACGCGGGCCTGGCGGTGCTATTGTAGCTCACGCAGGAGGAAGTACCGCAGCTGGATGTGCTTCGCTATGCCCTCAAGTCGAGGCTCCTGACACAGGAGGATCATGGCCCTGTTGTCAGCATACAGGACTGGGGCAGAGCTAGGCCGCTCACCTAAGTCGGTGAGCAAGAACGTCAGCCAGCGGAGCTCCAGTGCCGCCATGGCACCGGCGTAAATCTCAGCCTCACAGTAAGACTGGGCAACAGACGAGGAGCGAGTGGACCTCCACGAGATGGCACGTGAACCAAGGCTAAAGCAGTAGCCCTAGGAGGACCTGAGGGTCTCAGCGTCGTCTCCCCAAGAAGCGTCTGTGTGCCCAGTAAGGACCAGCGACCTGCATCCTCCTAGCACTAGCCCCATGCCCGATGTACTTGCTAGATAACGCAAAACCCTCTTAGCGGCCAACCAGTGTTATGGTCGGTGTCTGCCTGTGGCCACAAAGCGAGCCAGGATGCTGAGAGGGTATGCGAGATCTGGACGAGTGCAAGTCATCAGGTACATGAGGCAACCCAGCAGCTCTACGTAAGGACCACTGGGCTCTACTGACTCCTCAGGAACTGGAGTCGAGAGCCTGTGGTCTACTGGCAGAGGTGTGGGCTGTGCGGAGGAGAACTGAAGACCGAACCTCTGAAGGACCTGGCGCACCAAGTGTGACTGTGTGAGAGTGATGGTGCGTGCTGCTTTGTCCCTGGAGATCTGCAGGCCAAGGTAGCGGTGCAGGTCTCCTAGGTCAGTGCAGGTGTGTCTCCTCAGCAGCTCGGTCTTCACGGAGGCCAGCGCGTCCATGTCTGCAATAGAGAAGACCAGGTCGTCTACGTAGACAAGGATGTAGAACGGAGTCTGGCCAGCATAAACGAAGGGCAAAGGGTCTGCAGAGGACGGAAAGAACTGCAGGTCAGCTAGCGTAGCACGCAGCGACTCGTGCCACTCACGGGGCGCCTGTCGCAGGCCGTAGACCGGGTGTCGGAGGAGCCACTGGGTCCCAGGAGGGAACATACCGGTGAAGCCCTGCGGTCGTCGCAGGTAGACCTGCTCGTGTAGGCTGCCCTGAAGAAAAGCAGTGGAGAAGTCTAGGGAGTGGAGCTCGTAGTCATGCTGTGCTGCTACGTGTAGCAGCGCCCGAAGAGTAGTCATCTTCGGGGTTGGGGCGAAGGTCTGAAAGAAGTCCACCCCATCTCGCTAATTGAAGCCTCTAGCCACAAAGCGCGGCTCTCCAGGGGGGCGCTTCACCTTGAAGAGCCATCGGTCGTCGACTACGTTCACCCCAGGTGGGGGAACTGCGTTGACGTAGGTGCCAGTGGATCTCCAAGATGCCATCTCCTGCTCCATGGCAGCTATCCACTGAGAGGCCCAGGGTCCCGAGGTCAACTCAGCGTAAGTGCGAAAGGTCGGGATGTCAAAGGCGTCTGGGTCACCCTCAGGGACTAGCAGCATGGAGCAGAGATGGGGAGCAACATCGGACAGGAAAGCGGGCTCGTACTGCCTGTCC